AATACATCAAGCAACATACTATGTAGTATGTACATTGTAGATGTTGAAGCTTATCATAGGAATGCCTGCACACGAGTATTATTACAACATAGATTCCTTATCACTTATATGTACATATATGTATATAACGACTTACACAAATAACCTGGTACTTATTATAACGTCACATTATAGGCTGCCTTTAGCTCATAACATCCGGTAGCAATAATTGTTGGAAGTAGGTATTAGGGGGCCACAAACCTCAAAGAATGTCCATTATATATGTGGGGCCCCGTCATACGAGTACATACGAATTACTTACTGTGTACATACATTTCTTAACAGTTATGATTACCTAGTACTTATAATGACGTCATATAGGGTGCTCTTAGTAAATAACGGGTCAAGGTACTCTTATATTATCTATACTAATATTATAAAGAGGTAAAGTTTGTGAGTTTGTGAGATTGTGAGATTGTGAGTTTGTGAGTTTGTGACGTTGTAGGGGGTAATCTCTGGATCTGCTGAACCGATTTAGATGAAATTTGGTAAGAAAATAGATTGAGACCCTGGGAAGGACAAAGGATACTTTTTATCCTGGAAATCATCCCTTAAGGGGGTGAAAATGGGGTGAAAGTTTGTATGGGAAATCAACCTAGGGACGAACCCGAGCGAAGCGAGGGTGAGTCACTAGTCAGTAATAAAGTGTCGTGACATTCGAAATATTACAATCTCAGTCGCCAAGGGTGCCGAGCGCGATAAGGAACTTCGTTCCAAAATTAAAAACTATAAGGTTTAATAGAAACACAAATATTTTTAAATTTTGTAACCATAGCAACCCGAATTAGGATTATTTAAATAAAAATTGAATATTTTAAGCGACTGTCTTTTCTCAGATCTATAGCTATACATATAATTAAATTCTAACTAAACCGAATCTGTACATTTTGGAATAGCTTATTGAAATAGTCATTATTAAATAAAAACTATGTAACATATACCTTTTCTGAAAAGCAAAATAAGAATGGCAATTTATGTCAAAAAACGAAAAAGTATATTTTTGCCGTAATTTGATCGCGGGCGAAGCTGCGGGTTCTGCTAGGGTCACATATTTACGTAAGGTAGGTACATTTACACATAACTATACATATAATAAAATTGTAACTAAGCCGAATCTGTACATTAAATATTTTTTTGGAAAATCTTATTGAAATAAACGTTATTATCGATACAGAGGCCGAATCTATAGTTTCTAGAATTTTTGTCTGTCTGTCTGTCTGTTACCGCATCATAGAAAAACCACTGGAGGGATTTTGATGAAATATAGCATAGTGATAGCTGGTTATTCGGGTCAACATATAGGATACTTTTTATCGCGGGAAAATATCTCATTTTTGAGAAAAAATAAAAAAAACTGCAATGTAAGAGTATACTAATATGTAAAACCTAAGAATATGGTTTTTTGTCATCTGAACGCAGGCGGAGCCGCGAGCAATGCTAGCTATTTGTAACTTTAAATATAGTATTATATAAAAATAGTTTTTAATAAATGTAATAAATACATTTGATTTTACAAATCCCATTAATTGATTTTTTTATGTCCCATAAATATTATTAATGAAAGTTTGGATGGATGTTTTTACTCAATCATGCCAGAACGGCTGAACCGATATGGATGAAATTTGGCACAGAGATAGATTATTGTTTGGAATAGCACATAGGTTACTTTTTATCCCGGAAAAATGTACGGTTCCCGTGGGATAGATTTGTTCTTGTTTTTCACTAGTATAAATAAAACACGTAAGTAAAAAGTTAAGTATTTATTTTCCCAACCTATCCCAGTTTTAGTACCTACATAAATAAATGCTTGATATCCTTGAAATGTAAAAGTATAATTTTGTCGCAACCGATTGTTCTGTTTCCTTGTTTAGTATACATGTAACAGGGATTTTTTTTTTAAATTCATAAGTTTCGTAACAGCGATTCGATTATTAAATTTGGCTCAGTTTGTAATGACCCTACTCGCTGCGCCGGCGGTCGCGGGTTCGAATCCCGCTGGGGGCATTCATTTGAGTGATGAGCACGAATGTTTGTACTCAAGTCATGGATGTTTATATTTATAATATGGATGTATTTAAAGTTATATATGTATAATGTATCAACTATCTGGTATCCATAACACAAGCCTCGTAGCTTACCATGGAACTAGATGGTGCTGTGTGTTAAATTAATTAAAAAAGCTTTGTGCCATTTAAGTTACCTAAATGATTTAACTGACTGCGTGAATTTAAATAAGCATCAGAGGAGAAGAGCCAAACAAGTTATTTATTTAATAAATATTTACCGCATTAAAATAATAATATAAAATGTGTTGTTATAGGTACTCGCTGTTACCGCTAAATTATTTGATAAATGTAAATATTTGCAATTTTTTGCTCAATATAATAATTCTTTATGCGTAAGCTTATACAAGCTTAAAGTTAATTGTAATTTCATTATAAATATAATTTAAAAAAATTGAATAACTAAAGTTGTTTACAGGATATAACAAAAATGTGTGTTAAATTGTTGATAACTTACATCTCGTATTATTTACTTTTTATGAGTTTAATATTAATTAATTTATAAGAAACATTGTAGTTGACTTGAAATATATAGAAAAACTAAGATGAAAAAGATAAACGGATATAGCAAGAAGTGGTTATTCTGAATGGCTACTAAACATTCTTCCATTGACCTTTTCATCTTAAAGAAAGATAAAAAATGCTTAAGAAAATCTTAACCCTAACCTAGCGCTCAATCGCGACATTTACTATTCATTCACTCATAAAATACTCATTTTAGGAGTGAGCGAATAGTAAATGTCGCGTACCTATATGTACGTGTAGAGTGTACTCTAATAATAAAAATAAATACTAATAAATATATTGGGATATTGGGGATTTAACACATAGCACCATCTAGTTCCATGGTAAATTATGAGGCTTGTGCCATGGATACCAGATAGTTGATAGTTCCCCCCCAACGTGCGTTCACCTTGTCGTGGTGGGGGGGGGTGGGGGGAAGGGGGGGGCTCAGCAGTACCCGGCAATCCAGCCAGGCACGAAGTCAAGAAACGCACAGGGAGGTGGCCCACTTCGGTGGGCGGTGGAAGGTGGCCCTCTTCGGTGGGCGATGTACCAAGCGGGTTGCTCCTGGTACTTCTCTGATCGCAGAGTAGACCTTGGAGCAACCCCATGCTTCTTGTGGTCTGCTTCGGCAGACCTGCCGTCGGGGCGTCGTAGTTGAATGCGTAAGCGATCCTGCGACGCCCCATTAAGACAGGGGAAGGTTTTGTTGGGTTTTAGTGGGTAGTACTGGCTTTGTCGGTGTGTCTCACACCTCGTGCGTAAATTCATTTCCCAACGTTAAAAAAAATAAAAAAATAAAAGATAGTTGATACACTACACAATACACATACATATAACTTTAAATACTAACATACATATTTATATAAACACTCATTACGGAATATAAACATTCGTGCTCATCAAACAAATGAATGCCCCCAGCGGGACTCGAACCCGCGACCGCTGGCACAGCAAGTAGGTAGGTTCACTACAAACTAAGCCAAACGTGTTGTCAAACTGTGAAACTTACTAATTGCTGTCACATCTATCTTGGTCTCAAGTTGGTTGCAAGGCAAGTTATATTCGGTTCTTGTTTAAATATTATTTGTATTAGTTTGTTGGTGTGAGATATTGTTTATTTCATACATGCCTATAGTTTTCATACATAGTACAGTAAATGCTGGGAGTATTTACATACATACATATGTACATGGATCGTAGTATATACGGTGTTAAGTTTCGATCTTATATGCATGTCATGTACGGACTTAAAAAAAATTTTAAGCCAAATTCTCAGTAGCATCCGAAGTTAAATAAAGCTGATATTTAGCGTGTAATGTGCAGTGTAGCCTCTCTTTGGATAATGAAAGTGAAGGGACTTAGAGCGAGTCGTACAAATCAGGAGGATTATTATTATCTTTATAATATACTAGCATTGCCCGCGGATCCGCTCGCGTTCGGATGACCAAACATAAAATTCTTAGGTTTTACAGATTAGTATACTCTTACATTGCAGTTTTTGCATTTTTTCTCAGAAATGAGATATTTCCCCGCGGTAAAAGGTATTCTTTAATTTTACCTGGATAACCAGCTATCATCATACCATCAAAATCTCTCCAGTGATTTTTCTGTGATGCGGTAACAGACAGACAGACAAATAGACAAAAATTCTAAAAACTATAGATTCGGCTTCTGTGTCGAAATTAATGTGTATTTAATTTTTTTCCAAAAAAAATTTAATGTACAGATTCGGCTTAGTTACTATTTTATTATATGTATAGCTATAATTCTTCTGTACGTGTCTATGCCACTGAACTCCTCCTAAACGTCTGGACCGATTTTGATGAATTTTTAGTGTTCGAGGGGCCCTGGATGGTTTAGATTCACAACTGGACCCTGTAGGTGGCGCTGCAGTCGGGTTCTGGGATATTATTCGAAGACTATTGTCAATATCCAATATGGTGAAGACCATATTCGGGTAGGACAATGTCTGTTGAGTCTGCTAGTTCATAGAAAAGACAATGTCCTTGACTTTTATAGCATAAATCGCTAATAAGATCTACTTATATAAATTCTAACGTAATGTGTGTATTGATGTAAGCTCTTTTAATAACTTAATCAGCGAATGTGATATATCATATATATATATATATATATATATATATATATATATATATATATATATATATATATATATATATATATATAAAATGTTGGTAACTAACATTTTATCTAAGATTATATAAATTCTGGATAACTTATCATATTTTTTTAATTTAATGGCTAATTAATTATTAATAACGACAAATGCAATAGAAACAGATTTATTATAACATTATATTTAAAATTAAATAATAAATTATTTATAAATTAGTTTAAATTAACAATGGTCTAATTGTAAACATTTTGTTATAAATCATTGAATTTGTATGAAGGTTTTTTTATATAATTAAAATTAATTCGCTTTGTACGCACAATTTCTCCATAATTTAGGGCTGAAAGTTTAGGTGTTCTCGTTTTTTCTGGACTTTTGAAGTCTACGTGGAAGAGTCCAAATTTAACACTGAAAAATAATACAAAAATATATGTATAAAGTATTATATAGAACATGCATATTATGCATTAATAATATAATAATCATAAATTCTATATTACTATATAGAAGATAAGAAATAAAAATATTATAAAACATAATAAAATATCAAGTTTCAATCCGTTCAATGATTAACCTTGACTTTGAAATCCTGATTCATAATAATCTTAGAATTGTTACGTCTTAGCTCAAGATTAACGTAAGATCAATTAAACCAATAGCGGCAATATAACTTTAATAACTGCCGCATGTTTCTTAATGCTATTAAAATCAAACATAACAAGGAAATACAGTATAGAATGTTTGCTAGCACATTTATTGTTTTTTGTTCCTTAATCCCTATGACAAAGTAGCAACGAGTTCGATTCCCGTACTTTTTATTCGTATACTAGCATTGCCCGTGATCGCGAATCGCGTTCAGATGACCAAAAAGCAAATTCTTAGGTACACATTTATATATTAGTATACTTTTACAATGCAGTTTTTGTATTTTTTCTCAGAAATGAGATATTTTCCTGCGGTAAAAAGTATCATATATGTTGACCCGGATAACCAGCTATCATCATACCAAATTTAATCAAAATCCCTCAAGTGGTTTTCTGTGATGCGGTAACAGACAGACAGACAGACAGACAGGCAGACAGACAGATAAAAATTCTAAAAACTATACATTCGGCCACTGTATCGCTAATAATGTCTATTTCAATAAGATTTTCCAAAAAATATTTAATGTACAGATTCGGCTTAGTTACAGTTTTATTATATGTATAGATTTATTTTAACAAAAGAAATATTTAAGAGATATTTACGTGAATCCATCAATCCATTCAAAATCGTCCATGAGTGTCCACGCAAAGTAGCCACGTATGTTGCATTTATCTTCATGTATTGCTAACAGCAGTTGATAGAGATATTTATTATAGTAGGAAACTCGAACATAATCATTTAGCTCTCCTGAATCTGATACTCCATTTTCCGTTACGATGATAGGTATTTTAGTTCCATAGTTTTTGGTTATCCAATTAAGGAGTTTTCTAAAACCTGGTGGATAGACCTGAAGAAATATTGAATTTAAAAAATTAATACTTGAGTTAAAAATAAAATTAATTTTAATTTAATCTGTAAAATATTCTTAATCGCAATTTATACAATTTAATTTTAATTATTACAAGGTAGGCATTGATAACATAGTTAATCTCAGCAAAGAAAAAATATATGTTAGTTGAATAAAATATTTCTCTCGTACAGGAATTAAATACACAACGGTCGTAGTATTCAGCCTCAATTTTACACATACTCGTACATACAATTGTACATACGCTCTATAAAGTCAGACGGATGTAACGCTCATTCTAACCTTACACAATATAAAGATAATATCAAGATCATGAGCATATAATCTTATTATTATCATCATAGTTTCTTATTTCATTAGCTTTATATATAAATATTTTTTTAAATTAGATTAAACTTTTAAAAGTACAACAGCTCTTAACCAACGATACTTTTTTAACTGTTAAATGCATATCTATTAATTTTCAAATAAAAATAATATTACACGCAAAAATACGATATCATAATTGCTATTTTTATCCCATCCATACTAATAATATAAATGTGACAGTTTGGGAGGATAGATGGATGGATGTTTGTTACTCTTTCACACCAGAACGGCTGAACGGATCTGGATGAAATTTGGCACATAGATAGATTATAGTCTGGTATAGCACATAGGTTACTTTTTATCTGTTGGTCTCGTGAGATAGATTTGTTTTTGTTTTTCATTAGTGACGAACCCGAGTGAGTACCCGAGTGAGGGTGAGTCGCAAGTCTTACTAGTAGAGACTGGATTATATGCAACATAAAAAGCTTATTATATGCATGCAAATATGCATGAAAAATGCTTGAAATATGCACGAAAATTGGCAGAATATGTGGAATTAAATGCTAAAGTTTGGAACCCAAACACAGAAAAAATTAAGTTTTCAATTTTTTTATTTCAAAATCAGCTTAAAATTAGTAATTCCCAGTAAACCCATTCATGGGTGATAACAGGTAGAGTAAAATTACATGACATTAAAATTAATTTAAGGCAAAATGGCGTCACTCTCGTCGATATTTTTTGTTAACTTTTTTTATAAACGAAAATAAATATGTAAATACTATATGCGTTATATATAATATATTATATACGTAGCTTATTATTGTTAATATTGTTACTAAGCATTTAATTTAAAAATTACATCACGGAATTTTCGTGTTATTGCAATAAAAAAAAATAGGTACCGATCTTAAAAAGCTGTCTACATAGATACGGTATTTCATTTGTTTATTTTAGAAATATTTGACTAAGGAAGCATATCTTTCTATTGTGCTTAACGATTTGTTAATATAATCATATTTTAGATTCTTTAGAATGTTTATTACTTGTGACTATTAATTTATTAATTTAAATTATTTAATTATTATCACTTTTAGCGCATTTCGGAACGCAGGGTCAATGCACTGCATTCGGAAAAATATTGTAAATGTACCAATAATATGCATCTTAACTAGATCTTAGGTAAAATATGCAAACGCATATAATCCGGGGTCTCTACTTATTGCAATTTAAAGGCGAAAGTTTGGATGGATGGATGTTTGTTACTCAATCACGCTAGAACGGCTGAATGGATGTGGATGAAAATTGGCACAGAGATAGATTATAGTCCGAAATAGCATATAAATTACTTTTTATCCCAGAAAAATGTACAATTCTCGTGAGATAGACTTGTTTTTGTTTTTCACTAGGTACGAACCCGAGCGAAGTCAGGGATAAGTCGTTAGTGTAATAAGAATTAAACTGTCATCGTGTGAATTAATAAACCTTAAACTTTTTTTAAGAAAATTATTACTCAATAACCTTAAAACGTAATTTAATCAATACAAATATACCAATATAACATTATAATATGTATGTATATGACATTGGAATAAATTGCGGATGTTTAAAAACTTAAGTGGCAAAAAATTATGAAAATTATAATAATTTAAAAATATGAAATGATCTATAAAACAATAATATAATAATGAATTAGACAAGTTCTCTGTCAATGGCCTTTCATGGTCAAGTTGTACCACCATCGGATAAGTAATTGATTAGATATTTCGCTTATCTTAATAATGTTTATTGTAATTAATATAGCTCGTGTAGAAGATTTTTTTATGTTAGATACTCAAGGTGTACATGTATTTGAAAAAGATTAAAATATTTATGTATACAAAAGTCATGGAACTAATTAGTATTGAAGACTTTAAATAACGAAATTTGCGCCTAAAGTTATATACCTATACTATGCTTTGAAAAAATATTTTCAAGGTGTAGCTATAACTTTTTCAGATATATGTTAAAAGGTATCGATTGAATTGGTATTTCGATTAGCTGTTTTAATTATTTATTATATAGTTATATTTAGTATGTATAGTATATAATAACACGTGTCGGGTAGCGTACAACTATAAATACTTCTTTAAAACTTGTGATCTTTACTTGCCTATTACTAATGTCGATTTAACTGTAGTTCACCTACTATTGGATAAAACGAGTTTTTAAAAACTGCTTTCAAAATAAAAGGAAATATTTAAATATATTTCATCAAAAATGTTCAAGGCTCAACTTTAAATATCAAGCTGTCAATAACAAAATTAAACCAAGTGCGTATTTTGATCACGCCTTAGTGTGCAAAGTCTACATCCATCAATAAGTACTTATCGATTCAATGTCATGCATATAGTTGCAAATATCTCATTAAGTTTTTATTAGGTTCATTTTTACATCTAATTACATTTTCGAATCTTAGAAGTGTGCTTAAAGTCTAAGTTATCTTAGAAGGTTATACTTTAAATTGTGTCCATTTAATTTTTTTTAAGTATGCAGTTGGAATCTGGATGACAATACAATATTGTCATAAAAACCAGGAGGTGGATAGTTCAACTTTCCAAAGCCTAAGTAAGTTTGGACTCACTTCATAGGTTTTGCTAAGTCCTATTTCCATTACAGTTGATATAAGGTATATTTTTTTAGTTCTTTAAAACTATAATAAGGTCTACTGCCGCGTAAACTATTCACAAATGAGATTTAAATCTGTTTTTACAAGTATCTGTCGGATATAACTCAAAAAATCACGTTTCACTATTATCTTTCCTATCACTTTCTTTCTCATCCCCAAAGTATTCTAATATAGCATTTTAGAGCTCTGCTTTTGGTCTATTAAAAGACAAAGCATGCTGTTTAGCATTTTCTAACGACGCAATTTGACTAAACCAGCAATATACTTACATATTCTGTATTTTCAATAAAAAAAACTTTAATACACACTTTTTCATATGTAAAGGAATCATTATTGTTCAAGAATAAAAAAAGATTCAGTTATTGGCAATGCGTTAATTTATTTCCAGCATAAAATATGTTAAGCTAGCGGCTCACCCTCGCTTCACCCGGGTTCGTCTCGAGGAACGCAGAAACAAATCTATCCTACGAAAACTATAAATTTTTCGGGGTAGAAAGTAGCATATGTTATATTTCAACTTATATCCTATCCCTGCGCCAAATTTTATCCAGATCCATTTAGTCGTTCTAGCGTGATTGAGTTACAAACTTCCAAACATCCATCTAAACTTTTACATTTATAATATTAGTAAAATTATGATTAAGTTTATGTTATTGTTAAGTCTTGAGTTTATACATACCGCTAACCATTCAGCTCCTGGGATAGGCCACTGAGGGTCTTGCTCGGCCTTTACACCAGTATCGTGATCCATGGAAGGAACTTTCCAAGTAGGTTCCATAGATGATGGTGACATTAAATATGTTGTGTAATGATTAATTCCGAAGAAATCTGAGCTTCCACGCACCAACTCAATCTAAAAATACCACATAATGTAATTTATAGATTATTATAAAACTTCTAAATATTTTGTCGCATTTACTCGTATATGAAATGAGTAAGTTCAGTATTAGTATCTTTCTATAACAAAAATTTAATTGAACTGAATTTGAATGAGAAATATTTATATTCATTTGATTCTGGGAATTTTCTGTCTATGAAGTTATAGCTTAGTCATGGACGCGAGAAAACAAAACAGATTTTTTGTGCGTCTACAGAAAATTAGAAAAAAAATATACTTATGGTAGTTTTATTTTTATAATATCGAGAAAAAATTTATTATATGTACATAATATAGTTCAAAATCGATCCACTACTCATTTCAGGCAATCCTCTTTTGAATTGACTTCAAAAAGGAGGAAGAATATAATCCAGTTATACGTTTTTTTTAATATATGCTACGCAACATCTTTGGTCATGATTGCCATTGACTTGATTTTTTAATGAATAAGTTAAGGACAAGAGTGGTTTCATAAAAATTTTAAAAACATCTCCAAGGTGGAATACCTATTTGCTTTTAAATTATTGAAGTTAGTGTATCTTTTATAGTTTAGAAGTATTTACCACTTTATTAATGAGCATCTCATATTGATTGGACAGTAAAAAACTAAAATAAATAATATCTTTAAAAACTTGGTTTTTGCCTGAAGCTAGCAGAACTAATTTAAAGATTGTGAATCTACATCAATAAACCTAAATAAAAGCCTAATAGTTAAAACGTGGTCTATCTCTTTCTTAGAAGCACAAAGATCAAAATGATAGATAAAGGCAAACACTTTATAGACAAAATATCTACTAAAATAAAGATAAAGTAAGTTCTGAAAACTAACACTTATATTTTCTTCAGAACCGATTAAATTTGATCATTTACTGGGTAACTTATAGCTATTACTGTTAAATGTAAAAGTGTTGTTGTGGCGCCTCATTAAACCGGAAAAGGTACCAACGGGTTTTAGTGTGTAGTACTGGCTTTTCAAGTCGGCAAGTCACCATCACCATACCAACAGGTTATAAGTAAAATGGATTTTCCAATACTAAAAAATATATATAAAGATAACTAACTAATGATTTTGCACTGTTGCTGATTTACGTACATTGAGGAAATTATATATCTAATTAAATAATTCTATTAATTTTACTTCTAATTTTATATATAAATAATGATTTGATGAATTTTATATATGAATAATTCTAATTTTCAATTTTAAAAACATATGCTAGGTAGCATATGCTAGGTATATTTATGATACAAAAAAGATGAAGTAACCTTCGCCATAGTTATCAGGGTCAGTGCGATAAAATACTTGAACGCCACGATTGTTGCCAAAAATTATTAGTACTTAGTCAACGATGTGTTACCGAGTCGCAGTTTACTCGCTAAAGTGGTCTTAGTTCACTTTAAATATTCATGAGCTGACTAGTGCATTGATATTTTCGTTCGGACATTGTTTAATTTTGCTAAGAATTTTCAAGCCACATTGAGGTTTTTTAAAAATATTTGTTACTATTAAGCAAATAGCACTCAGAAATCCATCCTATGTTGTATTAAATATGTTATGACCAATATGTAGCGCCTAATAATAAACTATAGTACATATAATAAAATTGTAACTAAGCCGAATCTTACATTTAATATTTTTTGGAAAATGTTACTGAAATAGACGTTATTATTGATACAAAGACCGAATCTATAGTTTTTAGAATTTTTGTCTGTCTGTCTATTTATCTGTCTGTGACCGCATCACGGAATAACCACTGGAGGGATTTTGATGAAATTTGGTATGATGATAGCTGGTTAGGATGGTCAACATATAGGATACTTTTTACTGCGAGAAAATATCTTATCTCTGAGAAATCTATACGAAGCGTTCAAACATAAGTAGGGACGAACCCGAGCGGAACAAGGGTGAGTCGCTAGTAATAAATATATTGTTAAAATAGTAAAGAAATACTAACTTCTTCCGGAGTAAAAACTGGTAAACGAGATCTTGGATATCCTTGATGGAGGCTGTTGTTATCTATTCTTTGACGAACAAATTCTGGATAATCTCCTTCTTCAGAGTAAATTGGATGAGCATACATCCCCAGCTGTAAGTAAGTGTACATAATATAATGTATACTGTATACATATATAATAAAATTGTAACTAAGCCGAATCTGTGCATTAAATATTTTTTGGAGAATCTTATTGAAATATACATTATTATCGATACAGAGGCCGAATCTATAGCTTTTAGAATTTTTGTCTGTCTTTCTGTCTGTATGTCTGTTACCGCATCACAGAAAAACCACTGGGGGGATTTTGATGAAATTTGGTATGGTGATAGCTGGTATCCGGGTCATTATATATGATACTTTTTACAGCGGGAAATATCTTATTTCTGAGAAAAATACAAAAATTGTAATGTAAGAGTATACTAATATGTAAAACCTAATAATTTGGTTTTTGGTCATCTGAACGCGGGCGGAGCCGCGGGCAATGCTAGTGTAATATAAGTTTATCATAATATACGAGTACATACATGCATTTGTAAGTACCGTTCTGCTGCGTCTCGATCTTCCTTTTTATTTTCATCTTTAGGTTCTGCCCAATATGAATCTAATGTTAAGCCAATTTTACCTAAAATTAATATTATAATATATTAAAAAAAATCTTTAAACAAACTGTCCATACATATTTTGCTAAATAATATTTAACATAGTTAACTTTTGACGCCGTAAAAAATTGTAAACAAAAAACTTTCTGTAAAAGATACCTTTTTGTTTCGGTCGAAATTCTTTATCATACAACCGATAAGCTCGAGCGTGTCCCAAGAGCATGTAATGCCCACATAAATATTCTCCAAGACCATGTGAACGTATAGCTGGTACAAATAAGTTACCACCGTAGCCCTAAAACAATGCGAAATAATATTTAAATAGGTAATCTGTTTAGATAAACATAGATTTAAAAAATTATAAATATTATGTTACAAAATTACACAATTATTGGTTATGTTGTATTCATTTCTGGCGAGTGTACTGATGAGACGTCCCCAGAGTTCCATTAGAAATTATAGCAACGTTGCAAGATATTATTTTAGTGACTCAAAGGATTAATCTTCTAAAGCTTACAAACTTGATAGCTTGATATTGGATTGGGAATTCCTAGCTGTAAAGCCTGCATAATTTAAAAGAGTTTCTAATATAAGATGTAATAGCTACATCTTAATTGCCCTGGGTAGTTTAGTGGCTAGCATGTACGGCTGCAGATCCGGAGATCCTGGGTTCGATTCCTGGGTCGTTCATTAACTTTTTTCTTAGTACTAATTGTGTCAAGAAAATCAGAGTCGGAGAGAATGTAAAACTGTTGTCGAAATATCATGTCATCGAACTTTAAGAGCGGTAAATCTTATGTTAATCTAGTCACATGTTTTTTTCAGTAATAGAGATATCATATTTAATAAAATCAAAATCAATTAGAATTAAAAAATGCTACCAGAGGAAAAACTATATGTGGAAAATATCGGACATAAGACGGGATAATTTTCTGTATTTATAATAATAGACGCATATGACATTGCTGTGCCCGTTGGGCGTTATATTGTTGAAAATGTGTAATTATGTGATAAGAACCGTTCAAGATTCAATACACGACAGTGCAATAAATATAAATGATAATTCTTTTAAAAAGAGAAGATCATTTTCTATGCATACTTACATATTAAGATATTTTTATAAGTAATGGTTGACTTTTTGTTTAATTTGAAAACAAAATTCGATTGAATAATGTTAGATTCATATTCTTCCTTTTAACTGTATAAACTAATATGTATAGTATTATATGATCTGTGCTAATATTAAATAAACATATAACTAATATAAATATGTCCCAACATATTTATTTATTTATATTTAATACTGAACAATGTTTGTTTGCTTGAATGCTCTAATCTCTGGAACCACCAATCCGCTTTGAATCACACTACGGCTTATTAAAGCGGAACAAATAAACTATGAGGGCGAAGCCGCAGTCAGCACTTATAAATGATAATACTTACGTTATAACAATGTTGATGTAATTCGTTCATAGTTGTCCAAATCTTGACAATATCACCAAATAGCGTGAACGCTACTCTTGCGTAATCTTCAAAATAATCCGCCATTTTTGGATTAGTCCACCCACCTAAATCCATTAAGGGTGTCGGCAGATCCCAATGGAAAAGCGTAACTACGGGGGTTATGTTAACTTTTAGCAGCTCTTCGAATAGGTTACGGTAATATTTGACACCTTTGTAATTTATGTGATTGTCAGTTCCATTTGGCAGCAACCTGTTAGGGCAATAAGAAATTATTATAAAATGGCTCAAAATAATAAATGTGTAATAAACAGATTAACAAATGTTTTTAATTACTATATCAATAATTAATATAAAACAGACCCTCAGTTTCTAATGAAGGATGTGTATTCATTAGATATTAGATATTGATACCATTTTAGTAGAAAAAGGAGTTTTAATTTGCATACAAATTAGATAATAATATTTACATACGAGTATATTATATATTTCTCTAATTCTATTTAGGTATTCCAAGATAATATGTATAGTCACTGGGAAATAGTATTTTAGTTCTATATACATAATATTATCTTTTTACATTTGTTAATCAGAAAAGGATATTATCAATACGTGAATGTATTCAATGAGGTATCCAGGAAATAAACAGTTTTTAAAACGCATAATGATTTATGAATAACTACAACAAGTACTAGTAAAAGTCAACTTTGTTAATGATTTTATGCAGTTTATTAATTAAGATGTAGGTAGTATATTGTAAAAAAATTGAAAAGTTTTTTTTATATAAATACGATTATTTGAACGTATTTATTACAAATATATTTTATTACATAATGTTTTTATATAAATAATTAATGTAAAAACAATGACGCAGTGTCTATTTTAATTCTAAATCTTCTAATGAAATAAGTTGATAATTTCGTATATGCTTATGTTAGATACCGCAGTGCTAGAGAAAGGAATTTTAATTTACATACAAATTAGATAATATTTATATACGAGTATATTACACAGCCGTGTAGCGTCCGGATTCGAATACTGAGTAGGGCTACCCCATCTCTTCCTGTGGGTGTCGTAGAAGACGAATAAATGATCTAGGGACATCGCACCTTAAGTCCCTTGCTCGATGGCGGGCGAACAACAGCATTCCCAAAGAGGTTTGACGTCAGGCAGGCGGCTGATCGGAAAATGGGAAATGGGCAGGGAGAAGAAGAAGAAGAAGAAGAGTATATTATATAGAACTGTATTCTTCTATATATATGCATTCCAAAATAATATGAATAGTCACTGGGAAATGGTTTTTTAATTCTATATAACAACTTTTTGCATTTGTTGATCAGAAAAATATATATCTAACGATTAATTTGTAATTATGAAAATAAATTAAATTAACAATCGAAATATTCTAAGTTCATAGTAAGTTTAGTATTCGTATAAACAGAAAATTAATTTTGTTAAAGTAAGCAGTGAAATGAACACAGAAATCGGGGTGAGGATATTAGAAGATATTATTATGCGGGCTGAGTAGACAGGAAACTCAAGTAACATTTACAAATCCAAGAAGTCCTGTATTGTAAATGGAAAAGAGGCTTTCACTCGGTATTGTGTAGCTTAAACGATAAAAGCCATTGTATTTCTTTTTTTCGAATAATATTGGATTGGCCCAGTTTTAGAGGTAAATCTGCAAATACTTTTAGCATAACATATCGAAAAAAGTCTGACTATTATATACTATCATAAAATATACTCAACTTTGAATGTTTTAATGTTAAATTGATCACAAAATTGGTAAGGCCGCGTATTCTTTAAACAATCTTCTAATTACAAAGTAAAGTTTATAATAGGTTGGAAAATTTAGCAGCAGTTCAAAACGCCACGGCTGTCAAAATGTTACTTTAAAAGGTTCCGTAGATAAGTTTATAAAACCTATACTGGCTATACCATTCGATCCTGTCTGTCAATTCACTCTAAATGTAAGTTCTAAGATACCTACAGCTCGTTACGTAGGTATCTTGGAACTTAGGACATAATAATATTTGTAATTATGAAAACTATCACTATCTTACTGCTTTTATAAATGGTAGTTTGTATGTATGGATGTTTGTTTCTCAATCACGCCAGAACGCCTGAACGGATCTGGATGAAATTTTGCACACAGATAGAATATAGTCTGAAATAGTACATGAGTCACTTTTTATCTCGGAAAACGTACAGCTCCCGTGGGAAAGATTTGTGTTTGTTTTTCATAGAGCGAAGAGCGGACGAGCCCGAGCGAAACGTTAGTGAGCCGTTAGTCTTATAATAATGATAAATTAATTAGATTTTTACAAACAAGATCATGTTTTTATGGAATTTTACCCTAACGTTAAAACAGTAACAAAAGCGAATATTGATAAATCTTAGAGTACAGCAAAGTACAAATCAGACTCGCGCTAAGTGTGATAGTACAAAATCTTCGATGTTAAGTTGGACTTGTACTTGCTGATTTTATTTATCATTGGGAACTTTGCCCTGGCATCTTAAAAAGAAAGAGCTTAGTAACTCCTCATTTCGTACTTTTTTATATTTTAAAGATTTCTGTGTTGGACAAAAATACTATCGTAGGATATTTTCAACACCACTTTTATTTTAACCAAGGCGACACAAATTGTCTACACTCATTGTATGGGAATTAACTCCGCGATATAAAACAACGTTTAAACTTCAAAGAGGTTTTAAAAGTAGTATAAGCCTAACTATCATAAATTTCAAACTAGCAACTTACCTTTACTTCACTAGGGTGCGTCCATATCTACATATTATGTATTACTCCAACTTATGTTCTATAATATGGACTAAACATACAAATGCGCCCAGCTGTTTTCAGAGTAAAGGAGTAACAAACATAAGCACACACACACAAACACACACACACACACACACACGCACACATATGTATGTATGTAACATTGCATTATTGGAATTTTAAAAAAAGTTGAAAAAATAACATGTTACTTTTTTGCATTACACTGAAAATTGAGTAGAAAATGAGTATATTCGTCAGTTCTTGAATGTTTTCAAAAGTAATCACGCGAAAAAAAAAATTCAAACCAAAAATTAAAATTAATTATTAATTTTAAAAATCAGTGGGCTACCTCAAAATGTTAAGTTTTTTTTATTTCAATAATTTTGTTTTTTTTCATAAGCTACAATTTCTACCCCCAAGATAAGAAAAAAAAAACATTTTTTTTATTTCGCTTCACCTGTACTCGTTATATAATCGTTATATATGTGTTATACAAACTTTCGGAATCGGACTACTATTAAGTCCGATTACATCAAGACTTACCTTGGCCAAGACATTGATAGTCGATAATATTTGACTCCGAGAGATTGTACCATAATTATATCTTGCTTATATTGATGATAAGAGTCTGCTGCCACATCTGCGTTCGAATGATCTACTGTAAATTTTGGATGTTTATGTAAATAGGTGTCCCACATATTTTCGCCTTTGCCTGCGATTAAAAAAAAACATATTGAATTCAAAAATGTTATATTCTTTGTTATTTTTATAATAGAAATTCCATCGATGATAATATAAATATTGTATCAAACATAGTAAATTCAATCTTTTATTGAATCATTACTGGAATATATTTTTTTAGTTTGCTGTGTATAATATTCCGAGTTTTCAAATTTAATTAAACTGCGACTAGTTAAGCTAAAATGACCTCTAAGTTGGACAACTGTGAGGATCTTAATATGCAAAGTTAAAACTTTGCTCCTAATAGTTTTCAACATTAGTTAAAACTCGTTGTAAAGTAGAAACTAATTTGAATACTTTTAATTGCTTGTTCTCTTGTTCATGAATAAAAAAGCTCGGAAGAAGATATGATAAATTAAACTGGCTTTTTTCATTTGTGAATATTATAAATGTACTGTTAAACACTGACTTCTTCTTCTTAACACTGATTTCTTTCACTTCGAGAATTTTATTCTCGAAGCTTAAAGACTTAAATGCATTTAGAATATGATATGGCATTGCTAAAAAGTAAAAGTTTTAAGCATAAATATGCTTGTTTTCTTAAGAAATCATCAATCAATATTTGGGGAAACTTATAGTATCAAATAATGTTTTACGTAAAAACGCCATAAATATAAACATGGTACACCCTGTCACCCTAAATAAGAAAAACAATAGGGCGGTATAGCCACTTTTGCGTAGATAGTAGTTTCTTATCCTCTAAAGCATAAATTACTTATATTGCTTGAATTCAAAAGCTTGCTTTTTCATCCTTTGACCTTTTTTTACTAAGAAAAATATTTGCGTTTGCGTTTATATAAACAAAATAGTAATTAATTGATGGATTTTTAAATAAACAATATAATAATAAGTAATATTTTAATTATAATGGAATTATAAATTGAATTGCGATATAAAAAAAACGAAGCATCTAAAATGTTACTCGTCTGATAATTTGAATCACATATCTTTTTCTTAGAAATAGTAAACATAATTAATATCCATGTACTATTATGGCCTGATTGACTGACTTAATTTAAAAACGAGATATTCAATGCGAAGTTTTGTTGCTGTTTTAGTTATGTGAATTGTAAGCCAATTGTAAGCCAATTTTCATGAGTTATAATAAACACGGTATTAAGTGACTTTGAAAAAGTAATTAATATGACAAGAATATGAGATGTATGATTTTAATTCACCTAGAGAATGGTAAAATAGATATCCATACTTCCATACTTAATATTATAAATGTAAAAGTGTGTTTGTTTGTCTTTCTTTCACGTCGAAACTGATTCACGGATTGGCGTGATTTTTTACGTGGAGATATTGGAGGGCTGGAAAATGACATAAGCTCTTTTTACCGCGGTAGATTATCTCATTCCCACGGGAGAACAAGTTATAATACAAGCCAAAAAAATATTTATGATCAGAATTACTTAAAACTTGGTATTAATGCTGTTCAATACAATTAAATAAATACGCGTTTTAACATTTTTCGAAATTCATCCCATAAGAGGGTAAAATAGGGGATGAGTTTTAGCGCGAGCGAATCCGCGGGTTCTGCTAGTAAGTATATATTTGCTTCAAAAAATATCTGAATCCCCTAGTACTCTCAGCACATAGCTATAAACCCTATAAATATCTCTGTATCAACATGTGATGTCATATCGAAAACTAAAGAATCCTTACTAATTTAATATTTACTGCTGACAGGAGAGCTGAGTCGTTTTTCGCCTAAACAAATCACCATTGGCATTTAAAGGGAGAATGCGGCTAGCATTCTTGCCACTATTCCACCCGGACGTGACTTGTACAGAAATAATTAAGTATACATTTGTTTTGTTTATATTATAATTAAGTAACTGCTTCGGTGGTGTAGTGGCTAGCATGTACGGCTGCACACTCGGAGGTCCTGGGTTCGAGTCTCGAGTCGGGCCAAGTTTAGTTATTGAGTCTTTCTGTATAGTAAGTCTCAGTAACAACCCGGAGTTGGGAAGTTGGCGGTGTTTCACCCCTGTGCCTCGGAGAGCACGTAAAGCCGACGGTCCTGCGCCTTGACTCTCACTGGTCGTGTCGAGCAGTCGTCCCACCAGAGTATGAGAGTGACAGGAATAGAGAGTGCACGTTGTGTCTGCGCGTACACTTGTGCACTATAATATCTCCTGCGCAGTTGGCTAGTCTCAATGAGATTGGCTGCCGTGGCCGGAATCGGTCAGGAGAACATCATTATATTATGTACATTTGTAATTGCCATTACTCTAAATAGGATATGACTGATGGATTTTTCGATAGCGGTTCTTTATACAAGAGATCAATGTATAGCAGAAGCATTACATGGAATGGAGTGAGTTACTTCTTTTCATGTACATTAAATTATTCTCTTGGAATATTAATCAGTGAATTGAGAAAAATTAAAAAAAAAACTGAAAATGATTTTGGGGCTTGGACAAGATAACATTCTACAATTGTTTACGAATAGAAATGTGAATAAATATATACCTAATAAAAATGATATACATATTATCTCTGACGTTAATATTTTTGTCATTTGGATACAGGTTTTAAAAAATGTTGTCCTTAAACATAAACGCGTTTTTAACGTCCAAGCCTGGGTTATGTTGTTGGTATGTTTACTACATACATATTTGTGAAAAATATTTTCCTTAACATAAAAAATTATTCCAACTACCAATGGCAATATGATATTATTTTTGTTTAGGTATATCGATTATGTAACTTATATATTATGTTTAATTATAAAAAAATCCCATAGCTAAGACTATGATGACCATAATTTATTCAGAAATTTTCCTTTAATTCTAAAAGGAAATAAAGTTATTAGACAGAACGTCAATTGCAGCAATCATAATAAATAGAATAGAATTTCTAATTTTAGAATACTACAAGAGATTAAATATTTCAATAAATTGTTTTTCATGTCTGTAATTGTTTTATTTTTCAGCTTCAAAACAAAAAAAAATTAAGCTAGAACATATCTATGTAGATTGAAGACATATAACAAAAGTGTAACTGATCGCTGTCTCTACACGAGAGATATTAGACAAAACTTTTATTTTACGCAATAGAACCCAAAACAATAATTTTTAGAGTTCTTGTCTGTTTGTCTGTGCGTTTGTGCGCGCTTATCTCAGAAACTTAGCCGATTTCAGTGCGGTGTTTACTGGCGTATTGTGGTTAGCTTCACTTACATTTAGTATTTGTTTTATTTCAATCCGTTCCTTAACAAAATAGTTATGTCAATAATAAATCCCTAATTTAAAAGACAATAATTGTCTTTTATAATTATTGTCGCACCAGACTAATTAAAATAAATGTACCCGAAACATGAACACATGCAAATAATATCCGTACTTAAGTTTAACAATGAATGTAACAAAACTCACCATCTTCGTTCCAACCGCCCTCAATTTGATATGCAGCCGTAGCGACCCCAAACACAAAATCGTTTGGGAACGTGTAGTTGCTCAACCCATTACTGCTTATAAACGCGCTCACTCCTTTTGTAAGGCACAAAAGGCTGAAAAGGATTGTTTAAATATTAAAGTAATCTGTACTACCCACTTGCAAAGTTAAAAAAAACCTATCGTAAAGAACTTACATATTTATATAGTAAATAAATAAGTGATAATCTATAATTTCATACACATTATATGTAGATAATCATGATATGTTCAATATCCTGCGTTATCTTTAAATTGTGTCGCGGATTAAACGGATTAAAACATCTTGAAATAGCAACGAATACTAAAATAAACACTTTGTATGCTAATTACAGGTATAATGCATATGATTAAGATAACATTAATGGAACCAAGCGATTTTTTTGTACAATAAAGTAGGTAATATTTTTTTTTAAATTGGGGTAAAAAATTTGAGTATAATATGTATGATAACATACTTGTTATAAAAATAATAAACTTTTAAATAAAACAGATAATGCAATCGTTAAATATAATAGCACTAGATAACATTGAATCACAACAAAAAAATATTGTAAAAACCACAATTATTTTTAAAAGCACACGATTATTTTGTACACACCTGAAGCACGCTAGAATAACAGCTCTATGGGCGACTCTACTCTGGCTCTGCATTTTGCTAACTAAAATACAACTGTCAATAAGACAACTAAATATAATAATAAATGTAACCTTTACGCGGAACAACCTTCCACTTAGGGTTTCCCATTGCAATTTATCACACATGTTAAACTAATACTTCCTAAGCAGAAAGCATTTGATTTATGTGAAGTTAGTTGGCATTTCCTTCCTATAGGAAACAAACTAAATAAAACCGTTAAATTAAACTGAGCGACATTTGACATATCATAGTAATAATAGCCTAGTGTTATTGTTAGCATTATATATTATAACTTAACATATTAAGAACCATAAGACCTGCACCGAATATTCGGCTATTATTTTTTATTCGGCTACTTTTATCCCATTCTTCTGAATAGCCAATACTTAAGGAACATGTTTGTTGTAATCAGATGATAATAGAGAATATGCGTGTGATTTAAAGAAAGCTTTTTTTTATAATTTTTATTGCTTTGAATTAAGCTTATGTTAATATTTTTTTAGAAAAAAATTGACAACATCAAAACAAAATAAAATTTATTTTAAAATGTATCCGAAAATAACATTAAAAATTTATGTAATAGTAAAAAAAATGTTTTAAAAGACAAGAAAATTGAAAGTGCATAATAATTACAAGACTTCCGCGATACCATTCAGACAAAGAGGGGCAATAGCATTCCCAAGGAGGGTTGACGTCAGGCAGGCGGCCGGTCGTAAAACTTTTGCCAAATCCTTCCAGCAGAACAGAAGATGTACTGCGCCGACCCCAAGTGATTGGGAAATGAGCAGGGAGAAGAAGAAGAAGATTAATATTTTTTATGTATTTTTTTTATTCAGATAATAATTATTGAAAAGAGCAAAAGCAATTGGGCAATTTAAAGTAGCTGAAACGCAACGCCATTGGTCAGACCGAATATGACGTCAGAGTAACAAACCGATTAGCGATTTTATCGCTTACAAATTGCATCGTCACTTCTGTGAATATCATACTGTGAAGTCACTACAAGCGCGCGAATGGCGAGCGCTTAAAGTATCCGTAACGGTATAAAAAAATATTCTATATTTTAGTTTTTTGAAGCTGGATATTTTTTTTACAATTATATATGATGTTAAGCTATTGTATACATACCTAAAAAAAATCATGCATATTGGTAAAATAAAAACATTGGTTTATTTTATAATTATATATTTTTTTTATATTCATTAAAATAGTCATAGGTACATAATCACCTTCTTTATCACGAAAATTAACTAAAAAAACTATTAAAAAAAGTCTATGCACTTGCATTATCATAATTTAGAAGCGGAAGATTATGATGCAAAAAGACTTATTTTTCTGTATTTTTAGGCAGTAGTTTACTTCTAGACGATCCCAGATTCAGAGCAAAGACGCTCTAAATAAATACTACTTCCTGGAGCCAAACAAGAAACAAACACGTAGATACCAGTTTTCTTGCCATGCGATAACCGAATACTTTTACCCAATATTCGGCTATTCGGCCAGAAAGCCCACCGAATATTCGGTATTCGGCGTATGGCCGAATATACTATTCGTTGTAATTCTAATAAAAAGTAAATAAAGCACTTCTAATGAAACCCACTTTGCAATTTGCTGGGGTCCAGAGATATCAATGGATATTATAATTTATTATTTCTAGCATAATTTAATTTTATAATGTTTATTGTTTAGTCATTACATTTTTTATTTTTTATAAATATTTTTTTTAAAGTAACAAATTATTCTAGAAAATAATTATTCTATTATGTTTCTTACTAGTATATAATATTATATTGACGATAAAGTCGATGAGGATAGAAAGAAACTCATTTGTCTCAGCGTCGGTGTAAAATATTATGTACATTTTGATTTTGATTTATTAATAAATTAATTCTCGGTAAGTCATATATTATATCATTCACATACAAACACGTATACCTATTTTAGAGATAATTATATTTTTATTTATTAAATAAAAATAAATATGTATATGTGTGTATTCAGCTCTTTTTTGACGTCCCACTGTAGGGCTCGGGCTTCCCTTTTTATGCGAGGGGGATTAGGCCAAAGTCTAGGCCAAAGCCACGCTGGCCAAGTGCGGGTTGGCTGACTTCATATATCTTTCGAAAACTTACTAGGTTTGAACCCGCTTCACTCGGTTTTCCAAGTCCAAGTTCCAACTCGCGTTGCCACTGGTGTTTAATAAATAACCAGTAAATAATTATTACTTAGTTCTTGGATAAAAAACCGAAAGTAAAATTATGTGAACTTGTCTGTACTTAGGGGTCTTAATAAAATAAAAATAATTTTTCAAGCTATTAGATATTCCATACAACCTTCGACCGTATATTGCTACTGGACTCGAGCTACTTTTTAAATCGACAATTTAATGCGATACATATTTAAAAGCGAAAGATATCGGAGGAAAAGAACAAAAAATAGCCAATTTATTATTATCAATAGAAAGTCAAGAAACTGAAGTCAATTGAAATAATATTATTATCACTATCTTTTGCATCAATTTATTCAACAAAGGTGAAATAATAGTTTAATTTACCACGTAATATATCTTTAACAAATATTAATTTGTAATAGTAATTCAAGGCCAAATATTTAAATAAATTTTAAGTTGATTCATAGTACAATAATACGAAACAATAGTAGGTATTGTATTAAACTGTTTTATTCAACACTTGAAATAATAAGAGCTAATAAAATATATATATTTTTAATACATTACACTCCTCAGTGTTCGCCCGCGGCTCTGCACAACTAGCTTATTTGTGTATAATTATTTCGCATCAAAGGATTTTAGCGATTGTTGAACAGTTTTTGAGTTATGGGATATTTTTAATTAACCACTTTGACATGACTGATTGACATGACTTTGACATGATGACATATATGCAAAAATGACTTTGTGTTCCATAGTAACTTTAAATAAAAACTTAAAAACAAACGACTTTCAGGCACTAACATATAAAAAATAACTAAACGGCGGTTTTCATTTAGAATTATAGATACCTAATCAGATATTTTTCAAGTCGGTGCCAGCGGAGGCAAAGCAAATCTAATATATGTATTTCGATACGTAAAATACATTTGTATCTATTAGATATTCATATCTTAAAATTTGTGTGTGTGTATAAAATGTATATTATTATATAAATATATTAATTATTTATTAATATCTAAAGTCTCATAGATAGGTAAAAACAATAATAAGTTTGTTAGTATTGAGACCTTCTTTTATCGTACATGAAATATTTTTAATAACAATATAACTGACTGTAACGTACCTATTATGTGCACAATATAGACCCTAAGACAATAAATATTAAAAATTTTGTCTGTTTGTCTGTTTATGTGTGGATATGAATAGTGCTAACAGTATCCATTAACACATTGATAAGGACAGGACAGAGAAACTCATATATAGAAACTTTAAGGATTCCTTTTTTTCTCATTTAGTTAGGAAAACCTAAAAATAAAATTATATCATATATGTTTATAATATGATATAATTTCTTCTAAAAAAATGTTTTGAATTTCTGTCATATCTATTCTTTTCATACAGGTTGCTGTTCGACATTCAAGTGAAGTCATGGATCATAATCTTAGAATTTCAGTGAAAAGTAAATTATTAATATTCTTTCTACATTCAATATTGTATATATTATTATTATTAGCAGGCCCTTTACTTTTACAAATGAGTTTACAGTATATTGTCATATATTGTATTAGCAGAACCCGCGGCTTCGCTCGCGCTAAAACTACAAAAAAACTCGAAAAAAGTAATACTTTCTTAGATTTACGCGAATATTTGACATTTTAAATAAAACTATCTTTTCGGATTTTGTCGCGGATTTATTTGGATTTTAATTTCCCGACGTTTCGAATGCTTTACAGCATCCATGGTCACGGGAGAGACTGAGGTGTTACATGTCTTGAATGTATAGTTGTTACAGACAGCCTACCCACAATTAACAAAATGAAAATTGCACCAATTACATTACAATATTTTAACTTTAAACATTTTTATAATTTTAATTATAATTGAATATGGAAAATTATTTATTTAATTTTGCTATTATTTATTTTATTTGTTGCTTAGTAAGTTGTTTTTAAATAATAGCAAACTAAATTAAAATTATTATCCTTAATTAATTTTAACTTTTTAAATTACACATAGAACAATTATATGGCTTTAATAATTAATACTACATTTTATATTTTTTGTGGGTAGGCTGTCTGTAACAACTATACATTCAAGACATGTAACACCTCAGTCTCTCCCGTGACCATGGATGCTGTAAAGCATTCGAAACGTCGGGAAATTAAAATCCAAATAAATCCGCGACAAAATCCGAAAAGATAGTTTTATTTAAAATGTCGAAAAAAGTAGGTTTCATACAAACTTTTATCTCCTATTTTACCCCCATTTGGGTTGAATTTCAAAAAATCCTTAAACACGTATTTATTTAATTGTACTGAAGAACATTAATACTAAGTTTCACGTAATTCTGATCATAAATATTTTTTGGGTCGTATTATAACGTGTTTTCCCGTGGGAATGAGATAATCTCCCGCGGTAAAAAGTAGCATATGTCCCTCACCAGCTCTCCAACTATCTTCACATAAAAAAACATGCCAATTTGTCACTCCGTTTCGATGTGAAAGAAGGACAAACAGACAAACAAACAAACAAAAAGCAAAGATGGTATTTAATTTATGGTATTTAAGATAATAATGGAATATATAAGCATTTTATAATAACATAACATCTCAGCTTGACGTAGTCATCAGGTCCTCATCAAATGTAATGTGCAAGATAGTATTGGTTCCGACACCGTTTTACTAAATAGCAGTGTATTATATAGAATTCTGTACTTCTTATTTACATGTCTTGTATTTTATAACATTAACATGGAGTCTTATCAGGAATAAGGAAAAATGATTTCAAATATATATCATTGGGGATTACGTTATATTGTAGATACCTACTTATATAAAAATA